GGGGGGCGGGACCCGGCCCCGGGTGGGACCCGGCCGGGGCTGGGGATCAACTCAAAAAATCCGGGGCAAAAAAAAAAAAAAAAAAAAGACTTTTAAAACTACATTTTGGAGCCATGGCTGCTTTTTTAGGGCCTGCTGTAGCCTCACATCGTCTGAAGGCAGGCGTAAGGGGCAGTCGGTGTGCGGGCGCGGGGCTGAGGGGGCCAAGTTCCCGGGGTGGGATGGAGGTCGCTGGGCCTGCAAGGGGTTTGTTTTCTCCCAATTAATACTAATTTGCTGATGCTCGGGGATAAAGGGCTTTCAGAGCAGTGGGGCTGCGGAGAGCCAGGACAGCTTCGTGCCTCTGTCGCAGTCCCGGAGCGAGGTGAGATGGTGATGCTGCAACCTTGGACGGTACCCCGTACCGAAACACGCACCTCAAAGTAGATAAGCTCAGTCTAAGTGATGTTTCTTTTGCAAAATAAATCAATTATACATTAGCATGTTATAGAAAACATGTTTTCTTATGTCTCTGGCTTGCTTAAATCAGCTTTATTTAGCTAATAACCTCATGTTGGAATAATGCCTTTGTCTGCTTTAATTGCATTCCGGTCCTGTTCACAGTGCTTTGCCAATCATGAGTAAAAAAAAAACCAAACAAACCACCTTTCCTAAAATATTTAACATATTAAAAATTTTGCGGGTTTGTTTAAACATACTTTTATAGCTGTAATCTGTGCTCATTACTAAACGAAGTGCTAAATTTAGCATAAAAGCTGTCAACGTGTTCCAATCAACATGTCCTAATGACTGCCAACAAATGGAAATGAGGCTTTCATGGAAAAAAGCTGAAAAGGTACAAATGCAGAACAAGATTAGATCAACTGTTTTGATAAAAGCCAGCCGGTCACTGCATTCGTCATGATTTCGATCAGCCCGTGATGTTTATGCTATTATTTTAATTGTTAATAGAAATATTGACTAGCTGCAGACGAGGCAGCGCTCCTCTGGGGACCTGTTTGTGGTGTTTCCTTTCATTAATGTCTCCTCGTTAGCAACTACATGTTGAGATCTCCCAGCAAGCCATTTTTCAAACCAGTTAACGCGTGCCTTGTTAATTCCGTCTAATGGAAGTTTTTAATCAAGATGTCAGCCGGTGCTAAAGCAAGCACCTCACCACAGTGCAAAACATATAATGTCCACATTATTGCTGTTATCAGTCAGCTTTCCATTCTTGTAAAAAGATTTTCCTCTTAAAGGTTTGTCTAACGAGGCTCACTTTCATTGAAACAATGGGGACTTCTTTTTTTTTCCCCCTCCCTTTTTTTTTAATTTCAAGGTGTCCCAGAAGAATCATTCTTTTATTCTGGCCAAGATTTATGTTAGTGCGTTTCCTGCTTACCCTTGCTAAAATATTGGCTGCTATTGGCAGACTTCCAGTTCTTTCACATTCCCCCTTCACACTTTTTAATGGTGGTAAAAATTAACATTTGCGGGTTGGAATATGAGAAGTGCATTTTGAAGTGGCACCAGCTGACACCAGGTACAGTTGTGGCCCTGAATTTCAAATGCTATTGATCGGTTACCAGTGAATAAGGAGTTTTCTCTCTGCAGACTCTCAGACAGTGCCATAGAGTATCCTTGGTTTGCTTTGCTTTAGCTGTCTTGACTGGCAATTAGCTTTTAGACCTGAATAAGGCTGAAGAATCTCATTCCTAGCTTAAGGCAGATGACAAATAGCAATGACTGTGTATTTTCCAGGTGTCTCATGTCTTTTCGTTTTTTTTCCCCAGGTTTTAATTAGAAGTGGAAGGCAGGTCTTTGAAATATAGGATGGCTACTCATCAGCTTTTACAGACTAGGCCAAAAAAAAAGTCCTCTAAGGTAAAAACCTTGAAATGTGATGGTACTGACAATCTTAGCTCTCAGTTTTGGACCTGGCACGTCTGTGCCTGGTAAAGTGGGACCACTTTCTGTTGTCCGCACTGTTCTTGGTTGGATTATTTCAAGTTTAGTGAGTCCAGGAAGATAAACCATGGGGCTTTGACATGTATTTGACTAAATAAATGTAGGCTCAGTAGGTGTGCACAGAGCTTTATTAGCAGGAAGAAAAGCAATGAACTAATAGAGGAACTAAATTTAGTATACTTTCCACTGAGGTTGTTCATGTTAAAATCACTCAGTGTTTAGTATTTACATTAGCTCCAATCGTAGGCATGTACTGCTTACAACTCTGCATTAAAATCACTCTGAAAACTAGGTCTGCGTACAGCATTGACAGGTTCGGTCTGCCATCAGATCTCAAAAAAAGCTGCGGCAAGCAGTGAACTTTGGTACAGCAGTGAACGCCACACCAGCACTGGTGTTTGTTTGACTCCACGATTAACTCTGTAGAGCTCAGCTGGCAGAAAACTGTACACTTTTTTTTTTTTTTTTTTAGGGGTGGTTGTCTGTTAAGTGCCAACATTGGTGCAGTGGAGGGGGTGGAAACATTCAGCTGTGATAAAAGGGGAGGGAATGACCAATGCAGTCTGCTTCCGAGTAAATCATGCCAGATCTAACAATAACTATCCTTAAAACATTTAATCCCACCCATCTTAGTCTTCTCTGTGTAGTATGAAGACCAGAGAAATGTTAAAACTATTTTTCTAAGTTACCTTCTTTTTCCACCTGCTGAGAGTTGTTTCTAAATATAATCCCCGTGCTACACTAATATGGTGCTATTTTTGACTTTGCCCTTCTTTTTCAGGAATTAGTGTTGTTCCCCAGCAAAATAGCTACTGAGCAGCAGTCTGTGGTGCTGGTGAAAAGACTTCTGGCCGTCTCTGTATCCTGTATAACATACATGAGAGGGCTCTTCCCAGAGAGCTCTTACGGAACTCGCTATTTAGATGGTAACACTTTCAGTTTATGCTGAATTCTTATTTCTGCTTGCTATATTTTAGCTATAATCTGCTTTACATGTTAGCTTCCAGCTGCTCATATATGTATGAGTTCAATTTTTTAGGCAGTTGGCTAATGGGCCTTCTCAAGTCTGGATGCAGACAGTGATTCTGCATCCGATAGACAGAGAGCACAGAAGTCAACCTGGAGCTATTGGCAACTCACGGCTTTTCTCTTAGTGTTTCTTTTGGTTTATAATCATTCCTTGGCATTGCCAGCCCCATGAATCAGGTCTCAGAGTCAGGAGGTTGACTTAAAAATCAGTAAGTTTTAAAAAATTAACTCTGATTGGTGTGTTTTATTTTCCTTTGGATTTTTGAGCCCTCGAGGTTCACATTTTCAGCTTTCCTTGCGAGATTGAAAGATTTGTTTGTTTGTTTGTTTTATTGTGGGTTTTTTTTTTTTTCTGTGAAAACTGTCTTGCATAACCACATGTGCTTGGGAATGAGAACTTTAAGAAATAAAAGAAGTTTAAGAACCGAAGTCTTGTTACACAATCACAAGAATTAGTGATGCTTTGATTCATCAACATCTTTATGTTCATTCAAGATGTGTAAATAGGGTGTGAAATGTCTCCAAGCATCCAATCTGTTTACATGTTTTTATTTATGCAGTTAATTGTCCTGAAACACGGTCACGTGCACTTTGTGGACGTGGTTGAGGGCACAGGAAATCCCTAATTGGCTCTTGATCACCTAACCCTGAAAAGCCACTGGTCTTTCTAATCAAACATCAGGTCTTTCAAGTGCCTTTTTGATCAAGAATGTTAACATCTGGCCTGCTCATGCCTTTGAGGGCTCCTTGGTTGAATCCTAAGGTGTTATTAATTCACTTCTTTATTTGCAGGATGGGTTTCCTCTTGCCATTCTGAAGGCCTGAAAACAGAGGTAGAATGAATTGTGTGGAAAAGCTTAACAGAAATAGTTTATTCTGAGTCATTTACCTCATCTGGATGTTGGTGACGTCTGAATGCAGAAGTGAAGGTGGTGTTAGGGAATGGCGGAATAGATGGGAGTGGAGAAGAGGAAGGAGGAGAGGACGGAAGCTGCTGGTGTTTCGAAATTAAGCCATAACTCTGGCACTTTTTCTGGGAGAGCCCAGAGCATCTGAGGAAAGTCTTAACATTTGAAAATGCAGCAATAAGCTTGTGTCAGCCCACCTGGGACTCGGTGGAAAACCAACATTTCCGCTCAGGAAGGACTTCCAGATAACGCATTTTATCCAAAAAAGGGAGGGTGACTGGCTTAGTTTCAGTGTTTGCCCAACAGCTGTGATAAGGATTTTAACTATGTGCTAAATCTGGTTTTGCAGACCTCTGTCTAAAAATTCTCCGAGAAGATAAAAGCTGTCTGGGATCATTGCAGATAGTCAAGTGGTAAGTGAGTTAACAGCGAAACTAAGACAAGATTGTGCTGAATAGCAAGACATTTACCCCTCGCGTTCTTCTTCCTGAATTTGAAAATATTGTGCCCGCTAGCGCTATCGACTGTGCCAGTGCAACTCCCACTGCTGCAGCGTGTGTGCTTGGCCCTGTGCGTAAGCAAGACAGAATTAGCTGGCCGAGATCGTGTGAGTTCAGGTCTGTTGAAGTGTTGACTGTAGCGAGGTGGTGGTCAGGCCCCAGAGCACACGCAGGCAGCATAGGCATGGAGAGAGGGTAAAGAAAATCATGCGATCGATTCTGTTGTTGTTTAGTCTTTTCTAGTTTCACTTTTACAGGGATCCTTGTAGCTTGTTTTTTAGTATGTACAATATTTTATCTCCCTGGGTATTGTGTGTCTAAGTACCCTACAACTGTCTCTAGGATGTATTTTAGAGTTGGCATGTTCCCAACAAGCAGAGTCTGACTTTGATGTGCTGAGGAGATACGTAGCTGCACATCCTTTGACTCAAAGAGTAAATATCTGACCATTGCTACCTCAAATAATATTTACTACTTTGAGAAAGTCCATCGCTGTAAACTATGCATCAGATAACAAAAAATTTACAAGACCAGACATGTCAGGCTGCGGTCAGATTGAAGTTTCAGCCAAGCTCTGTACACTGCCAGTGGGAAAAGAGCCACTGGAGAGCCAAAACAGAGCACCGAGCAGAGAACCACTCAGAGGCAGCCTTAGGCCTGGAATACTTGTCTTTGTCGGGATTTAACTGGGCTCCAGGCTGACAGGACATGGCCCTAGAAGTGTAAACAATGCCCAAATGCAGAAGGGAGGACAGCGCCTTTATGATGGTTGACCTGAAAAGGACTTTACAAGCCCAAAATGTTGCTAGCTGTGTTGTCTTAATTCCAGGAAAAAAAAATGCACTTTAAACTGTCTAATGAGTATGTATTTACAGATCAGGAGATAAATATCGCTGGTTAGTATTAATGTGTTTTTTCCTGGCAGGATTCAAGGTTGTTTTGATGCTTTGGAGAGGCAGTATGTAAGTTTTTTCACTATTTTTTAACGGAGTTTCCTATTTCTTCATAAAGTATGGACAAAACAATCTTTCCATTCCCGCTTTATATTTTTGTAGTGATCTTGCATGCACACAACACACATTCACACCTGTGGGATAGGGGGAAGACCCTGCCCTGAGTATATGCACGTGAGATTTGGGATTTTATTCCTTGAGCCCAACTATTGACCACTGTTGCTTTCTAAGCTTGCCCGTACATGGTGTGTGAACTAACTTGCAGCCTGAAAGGGATTTCCCTTAGTTCTGTGTTCTACATTTGTGTTCTCTACTGTCTGGATAGAGACCCTGCTAGTCAGATCTTGATCTCCATGCCTGTTTTCCTGAGACAGCTTATGTTGTGCTTCTGCTTGCCTTCATTGCCTTTCCCCTAGTCTTTTCCCTTCTTCTCATCTTCTCTAACCCTCCTAGCTTTTCTTTTGGGTTCAGAATTTATTACTTTTTTTTTTTTTTTAAAGTAGTTCACCAAGTAAGGTGTATAACTGTGGTCCAGAACAAAATCAGTTAGTAAGTAATCATATTCCTTGCTGATTCTCACATAAAACTGCTCTGCACAGGAAAAAGCACCAACTGTTGTTATCTCTGTCAGCACCGTTCATCAAACCAACTCTCATCTAGATCAGATGGAGCGGTGTTAGTTTCGGCACTGATGATCAGATGGGCTCTTATACATCAGTACAACTGTCTGTGCATAAGATAATTCAAAATGTTGTGAACTCAGTTTATTGCTTGCTGACAGTTCTAGGAGGTATTTAGTCCTCTGCTATTTATGAGACATAAATTAATTGCTATCTGACAAGGATTAAGGAAAAAATGGAGATATTTAATGCATGTTCTAGGATTGTTTTCAATAGTCCCATGTACGTTTTCTTGCTATAGGATAAATTAAATACCTTTGGGGAGTTTCATAGCAGAGAGCTTTGCCTTCAGTAGGGATGGGTGCTCTTGTAAAAGAGTTTTAAATTGGCATAGCCGTTGGAGATTTGTTTAGAAGAAGTCCCAAGAGAGAAGTCTGAGCATGCAGTTGTTTTCTTGGGAAACTGCAAGCAAAGCCAAGCAAACTGGCCACTAGGTGTTGCTGATGCTGTGCTGTGAAGAATCTGCATAAAGGTTTTTAACTCACTGTTTGTCGACTGTGTCTATTCCTTCACTGTATGTAGGCAGTTAGATTTTGATAGGTCTTTCTTTTCCTTGCCCGCTAAGGTTAGATTTTGATTTTGTGTTTTGTTTTTCCCTCCGTAGTTACACATTGCAGTCCTCGCAGTAAGTAAATGAATACAAGGCGTTTTTCTTCCCCCACCCTTCTTGAAAGAGATAGGGAGTCAAGGTTGTCTCAACCCATTTGTGCCTTTTTTAAGGGGAAGTCAAAATGGATGTGTTTTTTTATAGAGTGGTGACCTTTCTTAAATATGGTAAATATGAACTTCCTAGGCTGCATGGGAATGTTTTTCTCAGTATGTCAGACTTCTGACTGAGGCCTTACATGCATCCTTAAACTCCTAGAAGCACTTTCATGTGCTTCATATCATTGCTTCCTTTAAACTCTTGCCTTCACCCTTGGAAGCTACTGTGTCTTCTCCATTTCCCCCTGCAGAAGAATCCTCCTTATTAAACTGATCCTGAAGAAACCACACACCGGTGGTTACATAGCAAGTCTTTTGCCCTGCTCCTTTGTAAAGCACCAAGAGCTATGCTATGCATCTATTCTGTGCATAATCTGAGTAGTTAAATCTCAGGCATCAATAGCTGCCTGAGAGGGTTGGAATGGGAATTAACCTCATTCCTCCACAATTACACAGATGAATGTCTTCTACCTGTCTTTGAAGTGGTAAGTATTGACTGCTGATAGAGGAAGGCTGTTTGTCAGCCATTCCTTTCTCTGATCCCACGCTAAAGATAGTACAATCTCTGCTGTAAAATGAAAATATCATTGTTTAGTCACTTTTCACTGGTTCAAGTTATCCAAGGCGAGAATGCCCTCTCTGTGCTTTCTTGTAACAGATTTACACCAATCCCAAGGAACCGGAGGTAAGAAAGAGTCTTAATTAATCTTTGAGGCAACCGAAGGCATGGGTGAGTAGATTTGTATTCAGAGTGGACTTGTAGGCTTAAATTCTACCCTGACATAGCTGCTTGGTGACCCTGTTTCTCTTCTTCTGCCTTCCCTCAAGAATGACAGTTCAGTGAGCTGGACTGTGATCAAACGCTCCTACCGGGCGCTAGGCTGTGGGCCCATCTAGGGCCTCAGGCAGGGATGTTAACAGGCAACTAATGGGCACGTTAGCGATTTTGTTTTTCTTTCCCGAAGAGAAGAAATGGGAAGTTCAAAATAATTCTTTTACAAACCATCTTTTTCACAGCAGTGTTGAAAAGAGAGCTGGTTTTCCATGCAGAGAGGTTTAGGACAGAAGACCTGGGATGTATGTATTGCGTAGTGTCAGTACTTATCCTTTCGGTGTTCTCGGTTGTGTTTCTATTTTGTCTGCATCGGTGGAGACAGGCTGGGTAGTGCGATACATGAGCGAGGTTCTGCATCCATGCTGTCTCCACAGAGCAGATGCAGAGAATGGCTGCAGAATCGTTGCTCACCTGATTACAGTTCTGCTGTGTCACACCTCAGCATCTGGGGAGAGCGCAAGAGTTTAGTCCATACCAAGGCTGGGATTTGTAAGGAAGGCTCAGAGTTAAGAGCTCAGCTGAGCTCCTACTAATCGACCTCCGGAAAAAGTGAATTATAGGCATGGAATTGGACTACAATAGATCCTTTCTTTTGTGGTGAAGTAGTCTGTTCTTCCTAATTATTTTATTCTCTAAAATCATAGCAAATCCTTTCTTTTTAAATGGAAAATCATCTAGTTTTTTTTATTTCCCTCATAAGACTCTGAGACCAGCGAAATCCAGAAACTTTTGCCCGTGCAGTACTGTTTGTATTTCCTAGTAGGAGGAGTCCTTCAGGCCCTTCTCTCCGTGCAGAACTCTGGGCCAGGCTTCCCTGTGACACTGCATCAGCCGTGAAGCCTCACATTTTTCCTTTTAGTAAGGGAGGACGTACGGAGGTTGTGATGGTTGGCTGGCCCCGGTGCCTCATTAGAGATTTAGGCTGGGGGGTCGGGCCCACAGAGGAAGTGGAATGAGGAAGCAGGAAGTTTGTCATTTTTTTGTGATTCTCTCAGTGCTAGGTAAGCTGTGGTTGTTAAGAAAAGTTACCAAAGCCCGTGCAAGCAATAATAGAGTTAAAGCTGTCATTGTGTCATTAATGCTGTGCTCTGGCATAAAGTTGTGAAAGGACACTGCTAAGTTCAGTACACATCTTTACACTTGTTACTGAAAGAGACCCGTTTCTTTTTTCCCCCCTATCTTGTTAAATCTCTAGACAGTGACTGAACTGTATCAATTCAAATTCAAGTACAAAAAGGAGGTGCCCCAGATGGACATCATCAGGTAATGGTTTGGTTTTATTTCTCAGAATTACACTGTGAAAACTGTGTTCTTGAAGCATTAAGAAGAAACTGCGCTTTATGATTAGAACATGTCTGAGTCGCTAAGCAGCGACTATATCATCACAGTTGAGGACAGTCGCCCTACAGGATATGAACTGCTGAGCTGATGAGTAGAAATGCTGTTACGTAGCACAGTGAGGCACTTAAAGTGCACCAGGACTGAATTAAGGACAATTTATAGAAATGGTGCCTAATCAAGGTAGTGATGCAGAAACTGGCACCGTTGTTGAGCTTGCCGCTGCCTCAACTGATAATGAGAGTTCTTCCGCTTTCACAAGACAGCCTTGTGCTTTCAAATGGAGCTTTTTCAGGTTTAATACCTTTCACCATGATCCTGCACCCAGTTTTTTTTTGCCTTGGGCATTTACATATGTTTATTCTGCTTGAGCGGTCTTGCGTGGGTGACCTGAGAGAACGTTTGCTTATGGCGCCTGAGTCGATGCTGCAGAATGTTTGGCAGGAAGCAGCAGCTTTTTGCATCTTTTTGGCTCTGTCTGTTAGATATTTTAAAGCTGTGTTTAGTAGCCCATAATCCTCTATAGTTTAAAATAAATATTTTCAAAGGCCTTTGGCTCTAACCAAAGCAAAGAAAAATAATTAACCCATTTTTAGTTTGCTTCTGTAGTTGCCATTGCTGAAAGATGGATCTTTAGGCCTTGGAACCTGCCTGTAGAGCAAGAGAGCTCTGCTGTCTTGTATGCTTCTCGGGAAACTCCTCCACAATGCTCCTGTAGTGTGTCATTTGCTGTTCTTTCTCTAAACACATCCACATAATTTGTAGTATGTGGCAAAGTGATTTTCTGTTAGGAAAATCTGAACTATGTCTGAGTCTGGAGTGTCCTGTTGACCGTACCCTCTGTTTCGGCTTTGAAGCTGCTGTCAGTTGTCCTTACTACACTGAGGAGAGCTTTGGGATCTGAAAGATAATAGATAGCTCTTGAGTACTTTGTTTTTTTAATCAGCCTTACTCAGATCAGTCATTAGTTCCTAGCAATAACAACGGTCCCCAAATGGAACTCAGCATCCCTTGGTGTCTGTCGTACCGGCCAAGGAGAGGCTAAGTAATTCCGCTGCTGCATTTATATCTGCTCTGTCAAAATCTCATCACTGCTCTGAGGCTTCAAAGCCCGTGGCATCAGATTCCTGGGCTCTGCTCTCTTTCCTCGGTGACGGACACTGCTATTGCAAGATCATGCGTGTACCTGCAGTCGTTAGTAAACTGAAGTTCTGACATGGATCATTGTATTGTGTCATCTTCGCTATCGGCTCCTTCGGCTGATAAAACTGCTTTTATACACGTGCACGGTTTTTTGTCATGTGCAAACTCCGAGTTAATCATTCTGTGAGAGATGTTTTGTGGGTCTGCATCATCGTATCTGAGAGGTAAAGGGAAACTTTCTCCTAGATGGTCTCTGCCTTATTTTAGATGGATTTCAGAGGAATTCTGTGTCATCGATCCCAGTCCTTCAGAGAGGTTCAGTTCCTCAGCCTCTACCTTTTGACACATTCCTGCATCAAATCCACAACGGTATTCCCATATTGAACGAGTACTTGACCTGTTAATTCCTATGGAATTCTCTTTTTTTGCTTATACTCTTTCTTCCACTAATCCCAAGACTTGTAAGGGTGATGTGTAAGAGAAGGCCTACCTTCTCTTTATTCCACCTTAAGCATTGCCAGCATTTGTCCTCTCACTTCATGTACGTTTCTGAACACAGAGGATTTAATCTAATAGCACAATGTGCTCAGCACAGAGTTTTGCTCTTGGCAGTTCGGAGCCTACCAAACCGTACCCTGCTTACCCTGCGAATTCAAGCTGTTCAACAGCCCCTCAGTTTTCATGAGGAGCCAAGAAGCTTCAACTGGAAGGGGAAATCAGGCTTAACGAAGGGGTTCCTTCCAGTGGTTTAGTCAGTCATATTTAGCCCGGGGATCCTCTCTGCTCTCTGGGGTTACTTACTGCTTTTGAAGCAATTTGGGATGATTGTGTTAGGGACCATCCAGTGTGTCCTAGTGTCATTCACCTGCTCGTGGTCTTCCAAAGATGTAATGGAGGAGCTACATTTTTTTAAGGCCCCTTCTCATTGAAAGCTAGGGAAGTTTAGGTTCCTTAGTCACATAGTGATTCATCTAGTCCATCTTCAACTGTCTAAAGTTAGCTGGCTGATCTAAGCTGCTCATCTCATCTACCTCAGTAGTCAAGAGAAACAAACTCCTCCAGAGGGCGATTCATCCCCCTTCTGTTAGACGTTTATCTCAGTCTAGACTGCGTGCTTCGACTAGCCAGCTGACATTTGGATGGGTGAAGGAGGTGAGAGGAATGCCCCTTAGTCACTTTTGAAAAATGTGCTTCTGAGCTAGTTTTTCTTACGTGGAATTAAAGTGAGAACATGCAATTAACTTCTCTTCAAACTGCAAAATGGACTTGAAAATTGCCCCTGTGATGAATTGGCTTTATATGGGATTCTCACCTCATTCCTCTCATTCCTGAAATTGCTTAGGTGAAAGGCACTTGTTTTATGGTCCTTTGATCCAATTTAATCATGTTCAAACAAGTGAGTCATGACATTTGTATAATGGGGTCCATTGCCCCAGCTACAAAGTCTGTTCAAATGTAAATGCCATGCGTCTTAGTTTAGAGCTGTTGTTTTGCTGATGCCACCCCATCCTTGGAGTCTGTTTCACTTCCCTGTTTATCTGGAAATTATATAAAGGCATTGTAGCTTTGTTGCTGGTGGTTTCAGACAAGTCAGTGGGTGCACTGTCTTTGTAATTAGATCATGAATATTCATGACTGAGGAAAACAAATCTGTTATTCTTCTTCCGACTCTAGCAACCAAATGAACTCTGTGAATGGGGTGTGCAGCGAGGACGTTAAACAGGCCAGCAGGCTCCTGATCCGTAAACTGTACCTGTTAATGCAAAACCTCGGGCCGCTTCCCAATGACATTACCCTGACCATGAAGCTCCTCTACTACAATGATGGTAGGTGGAGAACAGTGTGTGCTGTGGGGAAAAAAATTCCCTTTCCATCAGTTTCTATGCTAATCATGAGCCCCTGTAAAGTAAGTAAAGCATAGGAGGGTGAAATGGTAGAGCTCTTAACCGATAACGGTGAGAAATGGTGTAAAACATACTGAAGCCTTCTGACACACAGGGCTTGGCAAATGCTTTTTAAGAAGGGGTTGAACATTCGTATAAGAAGTACAGCCATGCAGTGTGAAAAGAAGACATCCTTCTCCTTCACAGTTTTTGTGTTTGTTTTTTTAAGGAACAGGCATCCTGCGTTTGTCAGGTTCTGCTCCAGAAGGCTGAGCACATTAGCGGTATTTCAGCATCCTAAAGTCATTATTTCTTCGAGCTCCCTGATAACATTTGATCAGCTCATTTTTTCCTTTGCATTCTCTACCTTCTTCCTGAAAAAAAAAAAAACAAACCCAACCAGAATATTTTTAGTCGTTGATGTTGTTACTTGAGGCTGGTATACAGTTGTTCTTTATAAATCAGATTATGGAGAGATGGAACTTGATTTCTCTGACATCAGTGGCTTCTTTCTCCCTGTGTAGTAACTCCCAAAGATTACCAGCCCCCAGGCTTTAAGGAAGATGGCAGCCCTGGTGACCTGTTGTTTGATGGCGATCCTGTCAACCTGAGAGTAGGGTCGGTCTCCACTGGGTTCCACCTCATCAAAGTGAGAGTGACAACTGAAAAGAAAAGAATGGGGACGGTTGACAGCAACCTGATCCAGAAGAACGGCCCTACTGAGATCTCCCATCAGGGGTTAGACTGTGATGAAGAGGAAGAGGAGGGAAGCACAAAGGTATAGAAACAGACTCTATTCGGTTCTCGCTGGAGGAATGGAGTTTATCTAGCAAAACTCTCCTTAAAAAACCCATTTTCTCAGAATCCTAGTTTAATAAGGGTTTCAACATGTGTAGGGCAGCAGCGCTACAGCAGATTGAGCGCTGAGGCTGGAAGTCCATAGACATAAAGTGAATTTCATTCCAGCATATCCATTGACTCACTGAGTCTCGTATGTTCTCCCAGAAGAGGGCAGTGATTGTACAGAGAGACACATCACACGTGTGTGCACACACACAACACACGCATGTGCACACACACACATTTATACACAGATGTGCACAAAATGGAGAAAATTGCAAAGTTTTGCATTTCCACTTGGCATTTCTCAGGACTAAGCCACGTTCTGCTGTGTAGTTAGGTGGGATTCCTTCCACTTACCTCTAGCCATCTAAAAGTTGTGTGTTGTGCCTAATTTCTCTAGGCGCCCCCCTCTGCGCTTAGTGGAGGAGGAGGCATCTTTAGCAGGTAATTCAGATCATTTCCTTAGGCACCAAGGTAGGCTGGAATGAATGGTCCTCTGGTGGTGCCTCTCCAAAATGACAGAAGGGGCAGCCTGGACTGGTAGCTCAGGCTTGACAATTTAGTTTTAGGCGGTCAGTGCCAGGGAATAACCCCCCAACAGAGCTAACCCATGAAGACAGGAAGCCATTTAGGTCGGAATTCTGGTGTTTCTTAGAAAATTTCTCTCTGGAAAGACCTATAGGCTTGGGAGAAGGAAGGCCTGGACACTGAGGGGCTGTGAAAATCTCATCCCTGTTAGCGCTGGGTTTATGGATTTACCACCTTGGCATATTTTTTTAGATTATGCTATTAAGACAAAGCATCATTTGCTTTACAGAATCACCTTCTCCCTGTCAGAGCAGATTCAAGAGAGGACAAAAGTGACACTCATCCAGGCTGGAAAAAAGAAGCGTCTTCTTTTTACCTTCAAGATACAGGTAAATGCCGTTTCAAAACTGAAGCAGCTTGTGCTCAAGACTGTATCCTAGCATAGTATTTAGGTTTTCTCACTTACTGTGAAATGGGTGAACAGGGTTTCTCAGGCTGTTTGAATTCTGTGTCAGATCAGATTGAACTGTAATAAAGGGCTTGTTGTACATGCTTGGTTTGTTAACAGAAACATTCAATTTTTTATCAATATCTTTCCACCTCTTTATCTCAGCAGGTTTTTTTCAGATATGGAGGAAATGTTTCATCAATACCGAGTTACGTTATCTACACTTTCACCAAAGCTCTTT